CACCAATAATTATTAAAGTGCTAGAAGAATGTAAAACATTGAGGGACTCCACCTCCTGACCACACCTCCCAGTCACACCCAAATGTACGTACATACAAGACAGAAATTCCTGTAAGCAAGGGCTTTGCCCAATAATAATTTTTTCTTATAATTATTAATTAAGTTACATTTCAACTTACAGTCTTTCAGTTGCTTATTATTAAATCTTTCCACTATGCTCTGTCTCTTATTAGACGGTGTCTGGCCATCAAGCCTCAGGAAGGAATAACTGAACAGCTTACACATGCTCTCCAAAATATCTAAAGTCTAAAAAATGAATTAAGACATTAATACTGCATAGGATTTGGAAAGGGATTTGGCGAGTTGCTATTTTCTTTTGTGATTGACCGATCATTGGCAGGTTTTAATTTGGCAAATGTATGTACACATGTATAATTATGTGTCATTAATTGGGTAAGCACACAAAGGTTCAAAAAGGAGGACTGAATATTTTTGGTGAATAACTATCAAAGCAGCAAATTTCTGAAAATTATGTAGAGTAGTGTGAATCAGACATTGCACGTCTACTGGAATTTTCGTGTACTTGTATTTACTTGTATTTTGAAAAAAGCAAGTCGTGTATGTACTTGTATTCATTGGCAAATTTTCGTGTATGTACATTTACTTATTGCTTCCCAAATTCATCTATATTTTGGTAATTTTTCGCTTACTTTTCATGTATCCTGTACTTAAATGTTGAATCATTGAAAGGCTAATGTCTTCATCACCTTTTCTATTGATGTTTTCATCATCTGCTATTGCTAGAAGGACTAAAAAGACCATCAAAGATCCGTGGTTAAGGAAACTAACTGCCATTTTGACTGCTACGTAGACACACCTTTTAATTATTAATAGTTAATATAAATACATGAAAATCATCTCCTTAAACTCCGTCTACTTATTTTTGGTTCATGTATATCCCTTTTCCTTACACAAGTAATTCGCAAAGATTAATCCTTTGGACAACTTTTTGAATTATTTATGTTGTCATGGAAATCATCAATTATTCGACGCCACACCTCTTGACCGCGCCCAATCAGCCATTTTGATCGTTTTTCATAGAGTATCTTTGTGCCTTTCAAGAGCTCTCAGTAGACCTGCAAGTTCTATTCCATTCACTTAAAAGTGCTCCAAAGCACCTAAACTGCTTGCACCTACATAGATTTTAGCTGCTGCATTTACTTACAACCAGTTTCATTGCCTTTACAATATCATCAACAAATAGTCAACTTTTTGCAAAAAAAATAAAAAAAAAAAAAAATAAGTGTTGAATAGCAATTATATCAAAGTGCCGACAAAGCATTCTTTCACTTTTCTATTCTTTCCTATGGTTTCTATTTTACCACTAATATTATTCAATACCAATTTCTGCCAAGAAGGTGTGGTTTCCTGTAAAACGCACGTGTTTGCCCTAAAAAGAGGCGTGGTAATTGCTTTTTTATTAATTGTTATTACCTTGTTGTAGTTCTACAACAAATTGTCAGGCAAAGAGATATACTTGTATGTACTAGAAGACCTGTTTTTCGTCTAAATACTCGTGTATCGTGTATACACGTGCAATGTCTGGTGTGAATACTATTGCAATACCCCGTAGCACAAAATTTTTGAGGGCTATAAATTTTGCGGATTTTGTGATTCCTTGGAAATTTGCGAAAATTAATTATTACGGTACAAGATGGGATAAATTTGTAAAAGTTAAATCTGCTAAATACAATTTTAGGAAAATTTTCAAAATTTACAGCTCTCAAAAATTTTGCACTGCATGGTACTAATAAATAAATAATCATACTCGTGCACACTGACCTGAGTACTTTCTCTCCAGTGGTTGAGTGGAGGTACTCTAGCATTGCTGCAAGGACCCAGAGTTTGCCAGAATATTCCATCTTACATTCAGTGGGGTCATAGTCTTCAGGATAATACCTCTTTATACCTTCATACAACTGAGACTAAAAATAATAATAAGTATGTAATACATGTACATGTACATGTACAAATGCATACATGTACAAAATACACAAATAGTCATGCTAAAATATACATGTTCTATCAAAAGGGATTTTAAAAAATACATGTAGTATAGGATATTTTATTAAAAATGACTAGGAGAAAATTCTCCACTTTTTATGATATACATGTATGCATGTACATGTAGAAAGTTAGAGCTGATTTCAATCAAAATTCAATTTTATTAAAAATTTTTGAAGTTGCTCCAATGACTAAGACCTGTAGGGTATTTTTCAAAAATTTGTCTGTTTTTAAAAAATGGTCATAACTCAAAATTCTTATCGGAATAGGCTGAAACTTTTTACACAGCATAATGACATCAATATGTATCAGAAAATGTAATAAAAATTTGGGGTAATATCAGAGCCGTTTTTTGAAAAAAACCATGGGCTATAGCCTTGGGTATTTTTCAGACTTTTGACGTTTTTTAAAAATGGCCGTAACTTGAAAAGTTGAAGTCGGAATCAGCTCAAACTTGCTACACAGCATAAGGGCATCAATATGTATCAGAAAATGTAATAAAAGTTTGGGGTGATTTCGGAGTCATTTTTTGAAAAAACCATGGACTATAGCCTTGGGTATTTTCCAAAAACTGACCCGTTTTTTTAAATGGTCATAACTCAAAAATTTTTTATTGGAATCAGCTCAAACTTTCTACACAGCATAAGGACATCAATATGTATCAGAAAATGTAATAAAAATTTGGGGTGATATTGGAGCCATTTTTTGGAAAAACCATGGGCTACACATTTTTCAGAAATTGGCTTGCATTTTAAAATGGTCATAACTCAAAAATTTTTATTGGATTCGACTCAAACTTTCTACACAGCCAAGCATAAGTACATTAATTTGTATTTAAAAATTAATTTTAATAAAAATGCAAATTGGTGTTTTGATAGCCATTCACCAAAATTAAAATCCGCCATTCTGAGCCATTATGCGCATGCTCAATGACATAAGGCCACAAATTCACCAATTTAAAATCCACCAACCATCAAAATTTAGCAATTCGCCAAATTTTACTTGCTCCAAAATTCCCACTATACAATATATTAAATACATGTACTGTACAATACATGTACTGTACATGTACACATGTACCTTTCGGGGGTAAATATTTCTTATTTATTTCTTGTGTTCTTCTTAAATAAAACATACTAATAAGCCTCATCAACTAAATAAATAAAATAATAAATAAATAAATAAATAAATATTTATAATATAATGGTACGTATAATTACTTCCTGTGCTCTTCTTTGTCCTATCTCCTGTTCTGTCTCTGTGGCCTCTACTTGTCTTGATGCTACAATTGACTCTTCATAAACCTTCCTATAAGCTGACTGTGATCCTAATGTAGGAATTAAAAATATGGTATTACATGTATAATTATTAAGAAGGTCTGGTTTAGCAATTAATATAGGTATATGTACATTATGAGTATGTGTAATTACATACATTATAGCTTATGATAAAAGCAAGTGAAGCAATAATATATGCATGGGTTCAACTTTTGAACTGAATCAAAATCAGCTCAAAGTTTTTGCACAACATACATGTACATGTAAATGTAGCTAGGACATGTATTTATGCATTTTAAATGTAAATTTGGGTGGCTTTTAGAGCCAATCTTTGGTCACAATGGTCCGCGGTATAATTGACAAAACTAAATTACATTATTTATATTAAAATGATAATAATAAAATTAAAACCATTAATAAAGAGGATTAATAATACACGTACCTAATAATCCAGGATTACAAAACTCTGTTATAGCATAAAACTCCATCAAATCATTCTAAGGAAAACAAAAACCAATTAATGCATGCAAATAAATAATAACTTGTACATGTAGATCATACTTGTACTGGAGTGCCACTAAGCACTATCCTCCTTGAAGTTGGTAACTTTTATAATAACTACAAATAATAATAATAATAATAATAATAATCTTTAAAATAAAAAACCAGCCATTGTGGTACATGTATCAACATTACTGTCAAAAGTTATGTCACATACACTGAATGTCTTTATGTTGGTGTTCTTGAGTCTGTGTCCTTCATCACAGACTATCATATCAAAGTTAACTTTAGCCAAACTCCCGTAACACTTTATGAATAATTCATAACTAATTAACAGCACTGGATACACTGGAGACTTGACAAACTCCTAAAAGCAAAGTTGTTACTAATTTCTGAATAATAAAGATAAAGGTACAGAATGTACATGCATGGTATATTTGTACTTCTGGTCTGTTGTCAGTTGATGCTGCATACACTTTCAGTCTCTCATGACCTAACCACTTCTGAAACTCTTTCTGCCAGTTCTGAGAGAGAAAGGGACAGTTGGGAGAGAGAGAGAGACAAGGACACACACAATAATAGAAGAAAAGAAAAGAATAAATAGAAATACATTGTACAATGTACATGTATGATAAAAGTGTGTTTGTATATTGCACAATATATTGTACATTTAAAATTCAAAATAATTTATTTGCTTGGGGGAACGGGTACTATACCTTGACTAAGCTTCCAGGAGTGACA